ATATTTTATATTTTTTTGTAACTGTCTCGGCGTATTAGCATTGTACTCTCCATTGATGGTGTGGCTCTTAAGAAGACAATCAATAAACATAACGTCATCAACTTCCCTGTAAATGAAACAACTTTAGTCTTTTTGGGGGCATGAAATGTGGGGTGTTTCCACGGTATGAAATCATTCTTTGTCTCTACTTCAAAGTAATGAATTCAAAACTCATCCTTGACTAGGAAATATTCAAGTAAACCAATTTGATCTTTCTCAATCCATTTTTTCCGTGATATGATAAGAGTGAGACGCTGTTGTTCAGGTGTCAGAAGACGTGCCACTGACTGAGCAGAGACCTTCGTCATGCGAAGTTCATTGCGCAGAATATTCTCAATTCTCTCACGGTGTATTCTGATAGCATTGGCTATTTGATTTATAGTTAATCACCTTCACCCATATCCATGTAGTTAAAACGATCTGTTCCCGGTGTTGGCAGTTGCAAGACGTCCAGACATTAGGTTTTCTTCGACTCTAACTTCTCCACCTAAATGAAGCTGCCCATTTTAGAACTCTTGATAAAAATGTAGCGTTATCCCATAATGTAGCAAGCATGTTAGCATGGGTATCCTCGGAGGTTAAACATTTTTTTACTGCAGGGCTTGACATCACAATAGAAAATTTAGCCCCTTTTCCGAATAATTCGCTGCTAGTCATAGTGAGGTCGTTTTTAAACAGTCAAATATCAGTTTACCTGCGAAGAAGCAATGCCGTTATTAATAAGCAGAGTTGAAATTAAAGTATGCAGGATTTCATAGCTATTTCATCACCCTTTCAGAGCCTAAAATTTTTCAGCCTACCTTCGTATACGTACAGATGATGTTTAGAGTTACCAGTCTGTACTACAATTTAAACCTTATCTGGGCAATGTAAAGGTTAGCATAGAAAGTCTGTCTCGCCAGAACATTTTCGACTGCCCGAGTGGGTTCGATCTTCACGGGGTTCACTATTCATTCAGCCCGCTGACACATCTCTGTCACACTTAGAAAATCAGTATACATTGTGGGAGTATCAATGCATTCATAATTGTCACAAGTGTGAATGAACCTAACATGGCTCTCTATTACACGACATATATATATATATATGTGTGTGTGTGTGTGTGTGTGTGTGTGTGTGTGTGTGTGTGTTATAAATTAACTGATTTAAAATATGGTTTCTTCGCTACACAGGAATTACCATGTTTCAAAATAGAATTCATAATTTTTCTCGTTATTTGTATCAATCAGAGGACATACGTTGAACGGATGCAAAAATTCGTTGAAAAATGCCCACTTACCCTGCCTAAAATTAACCTCTTTTCGAACGTAACTCATAATTGATACAATAACAGTTAATAAAAATGAACACGCTATCGCCCCTGTCTAAAAGATTTGATTCTTGGAAACAAAAATTATGAATTGTATGTGCGTTTAATACCCAGTAAGTTTAAAAATAAGTTATTCCAAAATTGGCTTGAAGATGAAACAGAACTATTGCTTTTAATTTAGTTATATAATTAAATTTGAAGTTTTTAGCTTCGGTTTTGAAACATGGTAATTTCTGTGTAGGGAAGAAACCATATTTTAAATCAGTTAATTTATGATATTTATGTTCTGTAAATTTACATTGAGAATTGTTTTGTAAAAATGAAAAAAAATCAATAAGAAAACCGGCTAATATGTATTGGTGTTCTTTCTTTTTATTATAATATATATATATATATATATATATATATATATATATATATATATATATATATATATATACCAGCCGAATTAACTGCGACTTGTTGTATCTTACACATTTCTGCTTAAAATGTGATGGTTGATTTTAAATCATTGTTATAATTTGTGGAGAAAATTGACGCATTTCAATATTCCTCAATGATCTTGCGATATGACCTCCATGTTCTTACATTCTCCTATCTTTCGGATACGAGTCATATTTCCGTGTTCAAATTTAAATTTAATTTTAATCAAAGGGAGATCCCACTCCGGGGATCCCATTTCATAAAAATTAAATATACTTATAGAAGTACCCTGCGTAATGTAATATATGGTTATAGGGGTCTATCTCATGAACCCTTGGAGGAGTTCGATAACAAACAAACGGCAGAGGCTACAACTCGTTCTGATGGTGCATCAATCTTTACACAGATATACACACATAATTATATGTACATACACACAAACCCATATATATATATATATATATATATATATATATATATATATATATATATATATATATATTGTGTGTATTTAGGCAGCATGTATTCATTCATACACTTTTCATTAAATAATATAGGCACGTGTTGTCTATTTATTTTATGTAATTTCTTTCGTAACGTCTGATAAACTTAATAACATTATCATTGAACGAAGAAAGAAATTCACAATATTAATCCCTATTTTTTAATACAATCTAAGCTTTCGGCTTACATAAGCCATTATCAATGATGTCAATTACAACATATATAAATATTTTTACTTTTAATTTTATTATACAATAATTCTTTCAAGAACAATTTAAATGTAGTTAGAAGCCTTTACAATTTGTAGAATTATTCTCACATCAAGTAATTTATAATATTAATGCTCTGTAAATTTACATCGAGCACTATTTGTAAAAATAAAAATATCTATAAGAACACCGGATTATATATCTTACTGTTCTTTCTTTTATATATATATATATATATATATATATATATATATATATATATATATATGTGTGTGTGTGTGTGTGTGTGTGTATGGATGTGTGTGCACACACACATATACATGCATATGTATGTGTGTGTGTGTATGTACATATATGTGTATATATATATATATATATATATATATGTGTGTGTGTGTGTGTGTGTATATGGGTATGTGCATGTGTGCATGTGTATGCGTGTATATGTATGTGAAAAGTGTGTGTATATAGATATAGATGAATATGTGTATGTGTGGATATATATTTTTATATTTTTATATATGTGTGTACATGGGTGTATGTATGTGTGTATGTGGGTACACGCCTATGTGTATGTATATACATGTATATGTTATTCTGTGTATTCGCATGTGTTTTTGAACATAGAAATATAGGTCCTTGCTGGATTAGATAATCGTTATATTTATCTTCATATATTTATATTTGATTTGTAACCTGTTGTCGATATTAAATTTGTCAAATTTTCTCAATTACAAAGCGTTCCTTTAAGTAAACGCAATTTTACTTTCCTTCGTCCCATCTCTCTCCCTCACCTCTTCTTCCCCTCCCTCTTATTCTAACATTAGATTGTCTATGATGTGTGTATGTCACCACGAAATATATCTTTATACATTAGACATCAGTCAACATACATTCTTTTCTCTTATTTAAACCCCTTCCACTCACCTCTCCTAAAATTCTCTCTGTTAAGTTTTAATCTCCCTCCTCCTCATACTTACACTCTCTCTAAATTCTGTTTTTATTTTCGGAGTTGGGTTTTTTCTGTTTTCTTTTTGAATTTGTAGGTCTGATGAATTGATCGTATTTACGATTCCAATGGAATAAATTATGACCATGGAATATTAGTGTTTAAGCCTTTTTTTTATATATATATATATATATATATATATATATATATATATATATATATATATATATTAGTTAAATCTATGACAAAGTGGAAAAACTAATATTTACACATGTGCATGAAATGGTGGTAGCGGGATGACAATACGGAACATAAATTTTATTTTACTTTTTAATATATATTTTGGTTATAAATTCTAGTCAATTCTATTGAGTTTTTATTTCTTTTTGTTTATGCTTTTCTCACATTGTGATAATTGAAGATCTGCCCAGAAAGTTTAAATGTAAGAAACTGGCTGGAAATTTACTGTGGACAATCGACAATAAGGAGCCGATAACATTCATGTGTTAATCGTCTACTTGAAACAAATAGACAAAAACTTGTCAGTTCCACCTTGCTCACGTTTTTACCCTCTTACTTCTTTAAGTAAGGTCCTGCATTCCTAATTATGATTGTTATTGCAATAATTGTTTAATAGTGTTAAGCTCAAATATTTAAGGCGGCAACAGGAAAATTTTCACGGGAAATCCATAGTATTTTTAAGGAAGTGAAAGTGTACAAATTAAAGAAACTTTTTCGATCATTAACTTAAGAATTAAGATCTATCAAAAAATTAAAATCAGAAAACCATGAAATATTCATGTGTATCTCTAATTGTTGTTAATATTATTTTTATTATAAAAATACATTTAATATATATCGGTGTATTATATGCCATCCTCCATTTCATATATATATATATATATATATATATATATATATATATATGCTATCCTCAAATTTTATTTATATTCACACACACACATATATATATATATATAGATAGATATATAGATAGATAGATAGATAGATCAGAATAACAGATATGATGATGCTGAATATAAGATAATACGAAAATACACAAACACCGTGGTAGTCTGTTTTTATCTCTCTCTCTCTCTCTATCACTCTCTCTATCTTTCTATATATCTATCTATGAAGTTCGTATAGCGTTCGTAGAGGCTGATTACTAAGACTGTAATAAAACACTGAAAACAAAAAGTTTTTAATCACATGAGGACATGATCTGAGAATACAGCAATTCATTTCGACAGGCGAACAGCTGGTAGCCCTTTAGGTTTTATCAGATGTTCTTCTCATAGCGGATGGACGAGTCCATGCGTCAATAATAAGGGCAGAGAAGATTAGTCAGTACTTCTAAACAGCAATACCTATTATAGCATTCTGCAAATATAGTGATTTCCAAGCGAAGATTAGATGTGACACTAGGCCGGAACTAGGGGGCACCCACTCAGGATCGAACTCACTACTCAGTTGTAATTGTTCTAGCGAGATAAGCTTGCTAACCATTACACTGCTTCGAGGTGCCCAATAGATAGATAGATAGATAGATAGATAGATAGATAGATTACAACTGTGAGATAAATCTATAGATATAATACAACTGTGAGATAGATAGATAGATAGATAGATAGATAGATAGATAGATAGATAGATAGATAGATAGATGTAAACCCTCTGTGAGATAGATAGATAGATAGATGTAAACCCTCTGTGAGATAGATAGATAGATAGATAGATAGATAGATAGATAGATAGATAGATAGATAGAATACAACTGTGAGATAAATCTATAGATATAATACAACTGTGAGATAGATAGATAGATAGATAGATAGATAGATAGATAGATAGATAGAATACAACTGTGAGATAAATCTATAGATATAATACAACTGTGAGATAGATAGATAGATAGATAGATAGATAGATAGATAGATAGATAGATAGATGTAAACCCTCTGTGAGATAGATAGATAGATAGATAGATAGATAGATAGATAGATAGATAGATAGATAGATAGATGAAATGATGTAGATCGATATGAAGCGGTCGAGTCGACCAATCTTTGCCGAGACTGCCATGATCATCAGAGCAAACTGTAGATGCTAGGATCAAAGTTACAACATATATTGACAGACTGAACTGCCAAAAGTTAAAGACAGTTAATTTATAACGTATCTCATTGTTTAAACTAACTAACGATGGCTACCCGACGTGGACTGTACGTATCCCCGATGTCGTTACTTGGGTCAATCTATATAACCACGTTCTAAGCTGTCCATAATGATATTGTTTGTTGAGTGTAGCTGCGGAAGATTTAAGAGGTGTGCAATATGTTCCCGACATGTTCAATGAAGTTTAAATCTTTGTGAGCATGGGGCACAATTCAGTAATTGAGAGTTGGCATTGTGTTTCTTGAACAAGTTTGATGTTTCCCACGTTACACTATGTGTGGGGCGGAGGCCGTTGCGCAAACTTACTGGAACGAACGAGCACAGCAGGAAATATGGCGAGCATAAAGAGATGCAAATTGTCTGCAAGAAGATATGTTTATGCCAAGATAGATTCCAGTTTCAGCAGTAGTGCTTGCAATGGAACGCATGCCACACCATTACAGAACCGCTTTACAGCCGGTAAAACTTTCTGTCGACATTTAGAATCAATAGCTTTAGGCTGTCTCCTCCAAACCTGAACATTATCTTGGACGTCGAACTGGCTTTCTTTTCGCTGTTTATTCGTAAACATGGGTATTGACGGTTTTTATTTTCATTGAATTTACAGATTTCTTTTCTTTTGTTTTTTTGAATATCATTCATGCTGTTATGAAATGTTGATCTATTTATCTGTTATCTTCTGAATTATTTGCCTTTACATCTGTTAGGTTTCGAAAATTCCATCAATTTAACCATTAGTTGCTGAAAGGTTATTCTATTATTTTCTGAAATGTAAATTTCTTAATATCGGGAATGTTCATCTGTTTATCTGTTATTTTCGAAAATATTCATATGTATATCTGTTATTCCGGAAATATTTTTGTGTTTATCTGTTATTTTCGAAATTATTCCCCTGTTATATTCAGGAATTTTCACTGTTCTTTTTTAAATGTTCATCTGTTATTTTTGAAATTGTTCATCTGTTATTTTATGAAATCTTCGTCTGTTATTTTCAGAAATGTGCATCTGTTATTTACGAAAATGTTCTTTCGTTATTTTCTGAAGTGTTCATCTGTTATTTTCAGAAATGTTAATTTGTTTATATTATTTCCCGAAATGTTCATGTGATTATCAGTTATTTTCTAAAATGATCACCTGTAATTTTCTGAAATGATCACCTGTTCATTTGTTATTTTCGTAAATGTCCATTTGTTTTCAGTATTGTTTTTTACGCTGCATATGAATTATTTTCAGATATTAAATTCCACTCCCTTTATTTGCATCACTTTTATTTTATTTTTTATCATTCTTCCGATTCTATTTCCGTTTTTTTCCTGTAATGTCTTTAGTTTTCCTACTCACTATTTTTTCTTTCTTTCTTTTGAACACTTTCTCCGTCATTTTTCTCTCTAACCTTTCTCTATTTTTATTCATTTTTGTTCCGTGATTTCTATTTTCTTTCCTTTATCTGTTCTTTATTCTTTCTTTAGTTTCTTCGCTGTATATTTCTTCTCTACATTCATAATTAGTTTATAATCTTCTCATATATATATATATATATATTTCTTTTTGATTTCCTTCACATTTTCCATTCTTTTTCTCTTCATCGATTTCTTCAGATTCGCTCTCACATTTCTTTCTTTCATTCTTTCTTTCTTTCTTTCTTTCTTCACATATTTATTTCTTTATTTAATACTAACTTTTATCTCGCCCCAATGTTTCATAGTTTATCTTGTTCTAAAGTTGTTTATTTTCATGTAGCTATTGTTTCGAATTCGCCTTCTCTCCTTTCCTTCTTTTATTCTTTCTTTTCATTTTCCGTGCTGGTTTCTTTCTTTGCCATCTTTCTCTTATCCCAATTCTTTATTTATTTCATGTTTCTTTTTTCTTACGTTCTTTCGTTTTTGGTTCAATTTTAAATACATTTATGTTTATTTTTTTCATTCTTTACAATTTCTTACATTTTCTCTATCTCCCTATCTCTCTCACTCTCTTTCTTTCTCTCTCTCTCTCTCTCTCTCTCTCTCTATATATATATATATATATATATATATATATATATATATATATATGTGTATATATATATATATATATATATATATATATATATATATATATATATATATATATATATATATATATATATATTTCTCTCAAGTAATTGATTCAACATCGCATTATACATTCCGTTTTCCTTTCTGTCCATAGTTTAGCTCCATTCATATCGATAACCGTTACATAATATCGTATATATATATATATATATATATATATATATATATATATATATATATATATTTACCTTATCTATTATTAGCCTTTTGCTCTGAATCATTTCAAACAAACAGCTTGGAATTATATGTATTGCTACTGTATTTTGTTATCAGTTTCAACAAAAATGTCAGATATTTACTGTTCGAGGACGTGTTTATCAAGTTCAAGTCTAATCAAGTTCGTGATATTATCAACGGAATACACTAAACTCAATACACGCATACGAAAACATAGATAGATAGATAGATAGATAGATAGATAGATAGATATAGATAGATAGATAGATAGATAGATAGATATAAAACTTATGTGAGATAAATAGATGGATATGCACCAATTGTGTGATAGATAGATAGATAGATAGATAGATAGATAGATAGATAGATAGATTATTCATATATATCTGTCTATCTATCTACCTATTCATTAAAGTATATTCAAGATTTAAACTGTTAAGTACACGGTGCGATGGGTAAATTATCGCTATTTTATAATTTTAATTTCGTGGATGCACTTTGTTTTTATTAGGTCTACTGCGTATTATAGAGGGTCAGTTGCGCATCTTCTGTGAGAAAAAGAAAACAATGACACCATTCACTCCTGCTGAAATTTGTAAATGGCATGCACTACTGCTTGGCATTCGCGCTAAAAACTCCAAGATGAATGTTTTGGGTGTCAATTTGACGACAGTGCAGAGGATTAGAAAAGAGTTGGATGAGTCTAATGGTGATTACAAAGGGTTTTGGAGAGATCACTAGTGATGGCGACGTTATGTCTTCATTCATCTTTCCACAGGGCTTCAGACGCAACACGTACTCTTACGCCAATTCCTTTTTTGTAAGTAACACTGCCCTAGGTCGAGAGAGTGGCTATTGGAAGACCCTATGTCTGGCAACATGAATTTACACTATGTTACAGTAGCAGGAGAACACAGTCATGGCTGTTTGACAATTTCTGCGACCACATCACTCTTTATATCTGGCTACCTAACTCCCCAGAATGCATCATTCTTGATAATTATGGGTGGGGCGCAGATAAGCGAGAGACCAATAAAACTTCTTGTAACACCAAAGATGAATTGAAAGCCAGGATTATGGCAACATTCACTAACAAACAAGGGGACCGTCTAGAAGAGTTACAGGAGATCCGGAAGTCGTCTGCAGGTCGTAGTTGCAGCGATTGTCGATCACTGCAAAATGCTTTGATGAGGAAAACCTCCAATGACATCCTGATTAATGAGTTCGTCCATAACTTTTACTTCAAAACCTGTGTACTTTTTTCTCAAAGGTAGCGTGGTTGATAAGTAGTAACAAGTTATTACACCTAATGGTAAACATATAACTGGATAGAATATCATTGTATCTTCTTTTTTAAGAATAAATTTGATAAACAGAAACGGAAATTATATATGACTCTATCTAATGAAGTTATCGTGTAAAAGTATTCAGCTTTTTTTAAATTATTGTATATTCCTAATAACTGCCAACGAATATTCTTTACAAACTTCTCTACAGATTAAACGTTTGGAGTTATTTTCACACCTAATTATCAGATTTCTTTTTTTAGCAAGGGTTCTGAATGAGGAGAGATGTTGTGAGGCGATACCAAGAAATAGCACTGCTAATGATCGTAAATAAACCAAGTCAGCTGCTGTGTTTTAAACGAAGATACTCTCTGTAAAAATAATTAAAAAAAACAATACACATTTTATGTGGCGTCGTGCATATTGAATACACCTGAGACGGGATGAGTATATATGACTATCTTCACGAGTACGAGATAAAATTCGCTGTGGTTGGGTTGTCTCAACTGAAGATCGCGTGGATTCAGCTGATGAATTCTAATCATTGGTTATGTCAAAATTAGATGCACATTATAAAATATATGAAAAAACTGCGACGGACAGATGGTAATTTTCTACACGTAGCTTAGATGTGGCACAATGCCGAAAGTGTGGAGCACCTAGTGAGGATCAAACTCACTACACAATCGTAATAATTCTAGCAAGACAAACTTGCAAACCATTACACCACGTTGAAGAGCCCCAAGCATTTTTAAGCGTAGCTTTGATGTGACACAAGGTTGAAATTATCAAGCTTTGATTGAGAACCAGACTCACGACTCATTGGTAATTGATCTAGCAAGACAAGCTTGCCAAACATTAAAGCATGCCGAAGATATCCTGCGACAGATCGATGATTTACAAGCACTGGAAAAGATTGTTATATATATTCGTTCGATTATCTGCTGTTCTGTGAATGATCTCGAAGAAGTTTCTTTCGTAGTATTTTATGCTTCTTAGTAACACTGGTGATTCTGTGAAACTGTTGTCTAAATTTACTGAAATGTTATGTCAGATTAGATAGACCTTTGAGATGGAATAGCAAACAGGCAAGAATAAGCATATTCAACATCTCTTCCTTTTTAATCCGGTTCACAAAGCTACCAATATCGCTCAAGGCGTTTGTGTTGTGTACCGGGCTGACTTAATTACCAACAGAATGGCACGAAAATGGTTTTCCATTTTCAAGGAAGAGAAGTTCGAACTCACTCTCTGCGTTCTGGCCAATCTGCACAGTTTGATGAGATCCACTTGCACGCGAGTAAACCGGCAGAAATGGAGGAGGGTTGTAGTTTGTTTCTCTTCGGTCGTTGCGTGTAGGGCCGATGCGTCATGCCTCCGAACCTTTTTCATTGAAAGATGAGCGACATATACATGAGAGCTTCTTATCGTATGTGCTAATTCCCTCATGGTCCGGTGGGATTCTATTTTTTTTTAATCACAAGCGCGTAAAATACACCATCTTGCTGAAAGAATTTTCGATTCCAGGCTGGATTAATGCTATTTTTTTTTTTTAGAATTACGAAGCTACATATCACAGCTTGCATGACCCACAACTCAGATTGAAAAGTCAGATTGATGAATTTGTCACTGTCTTGAAAATCTGGCCAGATTAGAAATCGAATTTTACAAGGTGGATCTAATTTTGACATAGCCAATGATTAGAATTCACCAACTGAATCCACGTGATCTTCAGTTGAGGCAACCCAACCACAGCGAATTTTATCTCGTACTCGTGAAGATAGTCATATATTTGTACTTATCCCATCCTAGGCGTATTCAATATACACGAAGCCACATAAAATGTGCATTGCTTTTTATTATTATTATTACAGAGAGTATCTTCGTTTAAAACACAGCAGCTGACTTTGTTTATTTACGATCATTAGCAGGGCTATTTCTAGATATCGCCTCACATCATCTCTCCTTATTCAGAACCCTTGCTAAAAAGAATTTTGATAAATTAAGTGTGAAAATGACTCCAAAAATTTCATCTCTAAACAATTATGTAAATAATATCCGTTGGCAATTATTAGGAATATACAATAATTTAAAAAAGCCGAATACGTTTACACGATAACTTATATATGTCTCACTATAGCTATGTTCTCAAATTCTTTAAGTAGCTTATATAATCTCTGCGAGTCTTTACGTGTACTCAGATTAATCTAGGTGGTCCTTGCGTCGTAGCGTCATCTGTATACGCTACGTTTCGCATATCAGTGAAGGTTACATTCAACCTGCTTTTCTGCTCGTGAAATGTTCTCACACTCACAACAGCGAATATTTTTAGATGCTTTTAAAAAATTAAAAAAACAGCGACTTTAGAATCGAACCAAATTCAATACTTCTTTTCTAGGCTATTCATGCAAAAAAAGAAAAAGAAATGCAGATTCCATGCTCATTCAAAATCGACGACGATCTCACAATAATACAATTCGAATCTTTTAGGACGCATACAGAAACACTTGCAGAGAAGATCAAAATCTCTGGTGAAATCGCTGATCTTTTTTAAGCTTGACATTTTAAAATTCTTTTTCCAAAAAAAGATATCGTGCAATTTAATTACTACTTTGTTTTTATAGAATATATTAATCGTGCTACTTGACGTTTGCCAGGTTTTCAGAAAGATTTGTAATTGTAGTAATATTTATACACTTTCAATTTTCAACTTATAAATGTAATCTCACACAAAAAACTCTCATATGCACTTATGAAGAACTGTTTTCATTTAACGTAAACTGCAGCGCACATGTCGAGATTTTAAGCCTAAAAAATGATTTTGAGTTGGAATTTCACGCCTATAAAATATTTTTGGGTCACAGATTTTAGCCTAGCTCATGTTTCATGGTGAAGCTATATGAGAGAACAGGCCTAACTTGAAGTTTTGCGTTATAAATCGTGAGGCCGACTTTGTACTCCAAGTCGATTTGTACCTCAGGTCGAATTGTACACCAAGTGGACTTGTGCCACTCGATTTAAGGTATTTCTGGGGAGATGGGAACAATTAACAAATATTATATTTTCCGGGTTTTGTTTTATGTATGACATCTACGATCGTAATAGACATGGATCAAAATAAGTGTTCTGTCGGGTATTTATCCATAGGTTTAATAGGCTTGAAACAAAAATTATTTGAAAAAAAGTCTCATATTAAGATATAAAGAAACAGCATCATTTATCTCTAGAGAGAAGGCAACTATTCTCAGATATGTTCTTTTCGGGGTTTATCTATCTATCTATCTATCTATCTATCTATCTATCTATCTATCTATCTATCTATCTATCTATCTCTCCACTCCCTTTCCTTTCTCTTTCTCTCTCTCTATATATATATATATATATATATATATATATATATATATATATATATATGAAATGACAAGTACAATCGCAATTTGCAACAAATAAAGACAACGTTATTCGACAAAATCTTTAGAAAAACGATATTCTCCGAACGTATTTCAATACAAATGCGCGCCTGTAAAAGTAATGCGGATTGGTATCTCTGTGTTTGCAAAATAATCGTGGTAATTCAAATAAAAGTATGGCTGGGAATTTATACGTAATAGGCGGGGAACCAAATCATATATATATATATATATATATATATATATATATATATATATATATATATATATATATATATATATATATATATATATATATATATATATATATATATATATATATATATATATATATATATATATATATATATATACTCGACTCTCCTTCGAATTCGACGTACAAGGTCAAGCAGATCAGTTTTCTAAGAACCGACAACCTACCAACAGTGAATAGCGGCTTGAATTATGGAATCAGAGAGCGGAGTTCGACTTCCAGTCAAATCCATGATATTCACTTACGTGCTTATACTCTTGGGAAAGGAATGAATCCTCCTCTTCTTCCTCAAGTTAAATTGCAGGACAAACTTTGTTCTATAGACTTGGATGACAACTGATCTAGGAGAAGGACTTCAATTCAAAACCTGCGTAGGGTTGTTTGTTGGGAGGGGGCTTTGTGGCATATATATATATATATATATATATATA